CCGGACTCCGTCCATTCCATGTTACATACCGGACTCCGTCCCTCCCATGTAGTTGTATGTAGGACTCCATGTTTTTCTCATGTCCCTCGTGGACTTCTGGGTGTTATTGATCTCTAATGTTCTCCGTCAGGTTCAGGGCAGACTGATAGCTGACTCGGCTCCATGTCCGGGGTGATTGTGACACGGAAGGCCGAGGGGTCAGCTCTGGAATTCTGGTTGTCACTTCTCTCGGGGGACACGGCCGCTGTCCATACTCTGCTGGAAGTTCCGGATGATTCCATTCACCCCGACTCCGTGTTTGATACGAGTGATGTGGAGGAATGGAGGAACTATCGCTACAACACCACAGCCCTGAGTAGGTCCCTAGAACAAAGTCTAGGTCCGCCCCTCCAGCTGGGGGTGGAACTACAAATCCCATGAGGCATTGCAAGACTCTCACAGACGTGACTCCTGGAGAGAGATGCATCATGGGACTCGTAGTTCCACCACAGCTGGAGGGGGCGGAGTTTGGCTGGTCTAGGTTATGAGGGTGTATAATTCATGGTTCTTACATGACCCCTCTGTTATCTGTAGGATCTCCTTATAGTTCCTAGATGACCCCTCTATGATCTGTAGGATCTCTTCATGGTTCCTATATGACCCCTATATGATCTGTAGGATATCTTCATGGTTCATATAGGACCCCTCTATGATCTGTAGGATCTCCTCATGGTTCTTACATGACCCCTCTATGATCTGTAGGATCTCTTCATGTTTCTTACAAGACCCCTCTATGATCTGTAGGATCTCTTCATGGTTCCTATATGACCCCTCTATGATCTGTAGGATCTCCTCGTGGTTCTTACATGACCCCTCTATGATCTGTAGGATCTCCTCATGGTTCCTATATGACCCCTCTATGATCTGTAGGATCTCCTCATGGTTCTTACGTGACCCCTCTATGATCTGTAGGATCTCTTCATGGTTCCTATATGACCCCTCTATGATCTGTAGGATCTCTTCATGGTTCTTACATGACCCCTCTATGATCTGTAGGATCTCTTCATGGTTCCTATATGACCCCTCTATGATCTGTAGGATCTCTTCATGGTTCTTACATGACCCCTCTATGATCTGTAGGATCTCTTCATAGCTCCTAAACCACCGATCAAATCTGTAGGATCTCTTCATAGCTCCTAAACCACCGATCAGAATATTGACATGTCTGGTATTTGGATGTGATTGGTGACTGTGGATGAAGAGTGGAAATGACACAAGTGAAGTGTTGATATATGTTGTGTTCATGTTTAGTGAAAGGGGAGTTCCTGGGTTATGGCCTCCTCAGAGGTCCTGGCGATCCGTTCTATTAGTTCCATTGTATGGGAGGACTCATCTGATTTGTCTTCTCTCTCCAAGGTGTGCCAAGCTGCTTCTACAACACGGGGCCCATATCAACAGTCCCCTCGTATCTCCGTCCCCTCGTATCTCCGTCCCGTCGTATCTCCGTCCC